CGAAGCAAACATGGAAATGTCACTATTAGTATTATAACAAAGAAATCAAATGAAGAACATTTTTTACTGACTCCGTATTCTTCGTTTACGTAGTAAAACTGGATAAACTTTAATGGTTAAAACATTACTTGAACTGTTAATAAACAGACGTTCGAAGCAAACATGGAAATGTCACTATTAGTATTATAACAAAGAAATCAAATGAAGGACATTTTTCACTGACTCCGTATTCTTCGTTTACGTAGTAAAACTGGATAAACTTTAATGGTTAAAACATTACTTGAACTGTCTCGCTAATTTAACAGTGTTGACACATTTCATTGTTTTTGTCTTGTCCCCTACTTACACTGCCCCGCACTCCAGGGGAGTTGAGCTCTACAAACCCTCGAGCTAGTTACATTGACCTAATACATCAAGATTATGCAAGGCAGGTGTGACTGTTTCATTTTACTTGAGATTGCAAGTTGCATTGTGTAGTAACTAACGGCTGACATTCGATGCAGGTGTTAAGGACACACCTCGTGCAATGTCACTTAGAAGAAAATTGAACGTAGTTAAACACAGTAGCGACACTTTAGTTAAGGATTTACGTACCGTCGATTTATAATTCAATCAAAATGTTCGAGTATGCAGAATTAAAATTATCTATATTTATTGTAAAAGTTTAAATTACTACTCGAACCACATAAAAGGTGACAGAAATGAAGCAAATACAGGCAGATCTGATCAGATTTAGGAAAGGTCACGATATGATTATATCACTGTAAAACTGTTTGATTATTTCAACACTCTTTGCCATACAAGTGTGATATATATATATATATACATATTTTATATAAATAAATTTGTATTCATCCAAGATTGGGAGATTTGATTTATAATGTACCATTGAATTCAGACTTGCCTTTATATTTTCTATAACTTTCATTGGTATAAAAAACGAATACAAGTGAACCTACCATTAAAACAAAAGGTAGGATAGCTTTATTGATATCATATCGGAGGTTGAGAAATGTTATGGAGTAAAGACTATTACATGTTGCATTAAGGCAATAATATAATTGAAAAAATATGTTTTTGATTATAAAAGCTGTATGGTATCTACAAAGAACTTTACTATTAATATGACAAATGAAATAGTTCATAAGTAACTAATCCACGTCTAAACTTCTGAAGGAACTCACGAATTTGTACTTAATAGAGTTGACCTTTAGTTATGAGAGACACGTTAGACGATATTCCTATAGATTTCAATTTATTCTACTAATATCAACAATTTCATAAAAATACGATGCAATAGATTAATCAACGTGTTTTTAAAGTGCAAGTGACTACAAATGATTTCAAACACGTGTCCTCCAAAATTTTCTAAATTGGATTAGTATTAACAACTATCCAACCGAAAAGACGCGCTAAATTTAGGCCTATTTTCATAGTATTTTTGTTTTATAATAAATTCTACCCAAGGACAGTCTGCTTGTGTTTCGTGATGGTTTATGAACTAGTTATATAGTATTTAAAACGATAGAGCTACACACATTAGTTTTATAGCTGCTTCGATATGAGGCAAGTTTGAATTCCATAAAAGAACATCTAAGTAAGTTTCGATTTATTAGTTTAAAATGTAGAGCAGAAACATGATACAATTGTTTTAACTTGGAAAACTTTGGTCTCAAGACTGTGATTGACAGTCACCTACTGTGAGCCACGCCTATTTACCGTGAATCGGAGGGTATAATGATTCGTCGATTTTAAATATCCCAACCTACTTGTGTACTTTCATCCAATCAGAACATAGCTTCCTCCCACTGCCTATTCGACGCAACGGAAGACCAACTGGCAGATCAACGAGGAATCGATTCGCAAGCACTTGTAGAGTACAGAGCTCAACAAAACTTGGCAGTTGATGACGCAGGCTTTAAGTAGCACGATTATGGATCATGGGTTTAGTAAACGGAATCCTGCACTCCGCCTAGTAGACGTGGCCTGTTCGTACGTTCCGTCTCATGCCAGTCTTGCCCACTCACACCCAGGATTCAATGGTGTAACGGCCGGCTACCCTCTGAGTCAGGCCGTGGTAGCAGCAACTCAACACCGCGGACCTCAAGAACAAGGTGCGTCAGAGATGTTAAGCCAATTCATGGATACAGCCCACATGGGCGCCATCAAATTATCCCCACCTCATGCCATGCCAGGAGACCTTTCGACTCAGGGAAACCACCAGTTTGCTGCCCAGACCAATGGCTACGGTGTCCCTCCTTCACATGCACATCATCACCACGGTCACGTTAGTAGCTACGCCGCTCGAGAATTTTTCCTTCGCCGTGATCACATGCCGACTCTAGCCGGTAGTTTAGCTTCTCATGATGCCCTCAACGGCAATGGTCCAGCTCATCACGGAATGTTTGTGCCATCCTCGGCTGCTCTTCACGCTGCTCATCATACAGGTGACCCCACATCCTCACATGTATTGTTTCCTGGTTTTGACCACCCATCAGCACATCACACGGGACACATGAACGGCCAAATGAGATTGTCACTACCTGGTGCAGACATGTACGGACGTCCTGATTCTTTCAATCAGATGACCGGACCAAGAGCTGACCACCTGACAGGGACTTATAGCCCCATGAATATGGGGCACATGAACATGGGACCTCACGGTCCTGGAGCCTTTTTTAGGTATATGCGTCATCCTATCAAGCAAGAAATGACGTGTTTATGGGTCGATCAAGAACAACCGACACCACGAAAAGCATGCAACAAGACATTTTCTTCAATGCACGAGATCGTCACCCATCTAACGGTTGAGCATGTTGGAGGACCGGAATCCAATTACCATGCCTGTTATTGGCAAGACTGTTCTCGCAACGGGCGGCCCTTCAAAGCCAAGTACAAGCTGGTCAACCATATACGAGTCCACACGGGTGAGAAGCCTTTTCCCTGTCCTTTCCCCGGCTGTGGTAAAGTGTTCGCCAGGAGTGAAAATTTGAAAATCCACAAAAGAACACACACAGGTTAGTTGTTTGCTTTACGTTCCTAGTTATAGATTTTAATTGGTCTCATAATTATTATTTATTATATGCGTGCGTCAAATGCAAAACTCTTGACATCCCTTTCACCATATTTCGCGCTTTCTTTAATTTTAATATTCAGCTCAAAGCATCCTTATATTGTGGCCATAGATAGATAATATACATCACCAGTTAGTAACTGAGTTACCTCCTGATAATAATTAACCGACTATTTCATCATAACTAAATACATATTAAAATATTTTCACCCATCACCCCATGTAAATACAAAACTACCTTTACCATAGTCATGTCAGTTTTTCCCTTCCTGTATTCAAGACCCCGTATACGTGACGTTGTTGTGCAAGTAATTTTACTCAGAAAAATGCCCACACTGATCTTTCCATAAATATCATATTAAACCTGACACAGATTTCCAAGCATCTTATATTCAAAAAAAAAAACAACAAAAAAAACACACACACTCTAAAACGAAATTACAACTGAGGGGATCTAAATTACACACACCGAAGTTCATGTGCAAACTCGGTTAAATCTCCGATTCTTTAAAATTACATGTAAATGTTATTTGAATTTAACAGTTGCGACAAATATCAGTTTATTTGTATTTAATATTTTTATTATAAAATTCATTTGCCCCATATACAGCTACACCCATTAAGTTAACAATGAAACAAGTACTTCAACATCTTAGTTCTTGACTAAATTGAATCTTTAAAAATTAACTTTCTTGTGAGAATAATAATATAGTTATTCATATGCAGATACAATTTCAATACAGTCTTTCATGCGCTAGATTACTTGCGTATAGTCGTGTCTGGGCTCAGGTTCTGTTGTTTTAACAATGTTCTGTAAATTTCCTTCCTATAAGTTACTTGGTACTACAAGTAGAACTTCAGTAGGCTTAGTCTTGAAAATTTTCAACCCAACATAGTAACATCTAGTATGACTGAAACAGCACAGGTGAAAGTATCAAACTCAAAGTCCATGTCAATCAAACATTTTGTTCAAAATTTCTCTCCCTCATAACAACAGATCGTAAATCACATGTTGTAGAAGTATTCAGAATAACTAGCATTGTCTGCATATAGATGATGGACTGCGACAGCACTGTATATCATGACAGTATACTTATAACATCTGGATATGTCATTCCTAGTGCTGACAGTTCACTACCCTCGTGAGGTAGCGTTACTTATCGCTTTATGTTGCATGCGGTCCGTGACAAAGGAATGCATATATTACCCTTATTTTGATATCTCATCGCCTGTAGAACATAGCTAAATGTAAGGCGAATTGTAAATGTACTGATGTGTTTAAAAATAACAAAAAACAAAAAACAATTCAATCGTCCATTGCATGTAAAAGAGATCCAGTTTCAGAAAACTAGTGAGATGCATTTCGACTTAATGGCCGAAACTGTTAGCAACGACGGTATCCAACTGATGACCTAGGGCAAGGTGGTCGGATAATGTTTTGTAGTTTACCTCTTACTTTTAATTAAAACTATTTATTCCTGGAAAATTTTTGGTGCCTCTTCTTTTACAGGTTATTACGTAATTTGAAATGTTTTACGATGGTACCATGATGATGAAGTATTTCCCATTTTTACGAAATAAATCTTATTCTCAGTAGCGTAAATTTACTAATAAGTTTTTGAATCCTGAACTTACTAACTAGGTATGATCAAGTTCAGATACAGATGGAGTGAATAACAAGTAAATACAGTTATGTAGCTTGATTTATAATGAAAATGTAAATCAATTGTTAAAATCATTTTAAAGAGAGGAAAGTATTCATAATTTCGGCCAACTGAATCTTGTGATAAAAAGGGTGTGAAGCTAATTTTCACTTTAATGATAGCCAAGTATATTATATTTACAGATTTGTGACACTAATAGTTGATAATGTGTAATATTATTTTATTTAACAGTTATATTTAAAATTGGATTAATTCTGATGAAGAATATTTTTAGACAACTTGGTAACGTCCTTTAACAAATCTACTTACATATACAAGTATGTGTGTGTGTGTTGATGGTTCGATGACTGTTAAAGACATATAATTAAAGGTAGATTGGTTTTAGTTTTTCATCTATTCGTAATTTCTAAATCACAGACACGTGAATTTTTTTATATGTTAAATTTTAGTTATTTTCACAAAACAAATAGGAATTATTATCTAATAACTTGAATTTGCACATAAATTCCAGTTATTCAATTCCATTGTGAACTAAAAAGTTGTTTTTGTTGTTCGAGCAAAATCTACTTGAGGGCTATCTGTTTCTAATTTTCAAATAGTTGTAGACTAGAGGGAAAGCAGCGAGTCAAACCACCGACCGCCAACTCGTGGGCTACTCTGATCGAATAGCAAGATTTGATCATTAGTCTTAAAGCGAACCTACGGCCACATGGTATGGAGCGGTTTGTTGTTTTTTTTTTGCGGTAAGAGGACACGGAACCTTGGATCCACATTTTATTAGGCCTAAAAAGAAAACATAATCATCACGTTTACACTGAGATGACTAATCGTGGCAAACGTTGAGCCTTAGTCAGGATAAATTGACCAAATTTGTTCGGGAAAATATGGTTATTGTAGGTCAAAAGATTGAGTCAGGAGAGTTATATGGACGAAGTCATAGAAAGTGACCAATTAATTTATGTGTCGGGGTAACATTTCGAGAATTTAAACCAATGCTAAACAAAGTTACTACCAATGGAAATAAAGCTAATACGTTTGAATGAGTGGCATATTAATTCATCCTCAATGCTAACAACTGTTAACTTGGAGTCACTATCATATTGAACCAATTTTGAAGCGAATATCTGCAGTATTTGAATTATTAGTGTACATAATTGTTTGCAATGCTATTAAACACCTGATAGTTTCAGCAACTAACGTGTTGTATCACTTTGAACGACTACGGCTGGAGAATTTGGACCACTTCTATATTACTCCATCTTCGATACTAACTCTTGGTAACTTTAAACCACCGTCACATCAGGACATCTTAGCAACAGTTAATGAATTTAACATCAGTTATAAAACTAACGAATTTTTTTAGTGCAACTTACGCATAGTTTTATCCACAGGCATATTATTGTTATTACATTTTATTCCACGTGGTAGACTAAATCTTACAGAAATCTTTAAACTGCCTTGTGGGAAAAACGGAGGGATGATAGCATAAAGGACGATATCCAAGAAAGCAGCGTAGTATATTTTTTACGTGTTTATAAATCCAAAACCTAACCATTTGGTTTTGAAAGCACCTTACACGAAACTATACAATTGAACAAATAAATCACAAGTTGTGCACTGTGCAGTTATGATAAACATGCACTTCAAACTGCGTTGTTGATTATGCACGTACGTGTGTAGCACACGAAATCTTGACTCGTGTTCATGTTTGTAATACTGCACAGCTTACTAAAGTGCTATTGTAATTGAAAGTGACAGATGTCTCGTCGATATTTCATTGATAAGAAAGTGGTTTAAACACACTGAAAGCTTCTTTTTCAGCCAACGTGCTTGGAAAACTTAGAAATAAATTATCTATAACTTGTACTAGTATATTATCTCTACCAAACCCCACTTCTGCCTTTTAAATACGATGCATTTCCCCTAATTCTGAACTAAATGTATTACGTGTGTGCACCTACTTAATTCATTAAATTACATACAACTGCTCAGTTGCCTAAAAGCGTTAATTAGCTACGTAGATCGTCCCTGAAATAATGAGAAATAAGCTAACACGGGACTTGTGTGAAGGAAGGGGAGAATTGTCCATACGAATATTTCAGTTGTTACAGTACGTTATTCAAAGCCACCGTCCCTCGCCATTCTGTAACTGTTTGTTCGCTACCTAACTTAGAAACATAACACACGATGACACTTGAGTAAATTCTCTCGAGAAATACAAAGGGCTTTAGTTTACAACGTCACATACCTACATATATATAAGCTATATTTATGCGTATACTTATATGTTTCCCTGATGCATGCCAGACTTCAGCTGGTTCATGTAGGCAGAAAATAGTATGATGTTTTGTCTGCAATATGTTCTTAGCTATATTTCATGTTGAAATGCTGACATGCTGCTATACTGTATAATACGAATGCAACGTAGATAACCAATTGTCTTTACATGAATTTTAAATACAAGATCATCAAAGTGAAGTTTCCGGAACGAGTACATTTTGCGTTGTTATCTGATAGAGATATACTTTTAACACCTCTTTCCTGGTGAAAGTATGTAATAATGATAAATCTGTCAAAGACACCTTAAATTTCAGTGCAACATTCTAAATGTAAGCGTACCGTGATGATGTGGTATGTACATATTTAGATAAGTTAATCACTAAGTATGTACTTTAAATGTTATCGGTTGATAAGCGTTATGCATATTCTATGTAAGAGTTATATCACCTGCTTTAATCTGTTTCTATTTTACCATGTATTAAAAGTAAAACATTTTGCTTCTAACTGTGTTTTGTCGCAAACGTTTAGATGGGATACGTAATTTTATCACAAACGTATATTAAGTGCCTGAAGATTAGTTCAAACAATAAGACGTGAGAAAAAAACAATGAAAGACTAAGACGAGAAATAAAAGTAATAACTCTTTTCCCCTGCTCATCTATATATATATAGATAGACAGAGAAATTTCCAATCTGAACGGTACTTTATGTAACATATGTTATGAACTCTTAGGTCAGAGACTACTAGGATTCATTCCTAGTCGTCTTTAAGTTTGAACTGCTGACCAAGGGGAAGGTAGCCAGTTAGTAGCACTGCCACATACACGACTATTCTTAACCGAATAGCATGATTGACTATCTCTGTTGTAACGCGTCTACAGCTGAAAGTGCGGATTATGTTTTCTATCGCCTACCGTAGGTTTGAAACGGAGGCCATTTGGTACGCAACCGGCACACTAACTTCTAGGCTACGCCCAGATATTATATATATATAGAGAGAGCGAGACATTGATAATCGATTACTACACTATAATTACTTCTATTTCTTGCTCGGGACTTTTGATTAGACCTATATAAACAAGACGTCTACGTATTTTATTACTGGTTTAGATAATTGCTCTGAAACAGTTCATCATTATACTTCCTAACTGGATGTTATACAACTCTTTCTTTTGACTCTTTGTTACCAGATAAAACATATTTCGTTAATTCATACTCTCGATTTGCAGACAGTTCCCTTGATTCGTATTCGTTGGATGATTATAAGTACAGTTCTTTGTTTAATAATGATCTGTAGCATGAACTGATTTGTTCTTGGTAACTCAACACCCCTATTAAGAGATTTTGCCCATACCCACGAGTGATAACACAGGCCTGCGATGGTTTTATTGCCTTGATATTTTTACATGTTCTACAGTAATTTCTGTACGCTGAATCCGAAAATGTTATCCATTTTTCTCCATCACGTATAGGTTTTTCACAGAACGTCATAACGCAATACATAAAAGAAAGAACACAACACGTAGTTTTGAAACTAAAAGACATAGATTTCACGAAAAAAATCAGGGCGAATGAGGATGCATATTCTTCCATTTTCTTCAGTTTGTTCGTATTTTTGTTAACAAACATAATAATAAAAAATGTGCATTATAGTAAACTAAAGAATAATTTGATCTGAGTAAGAGTTTTTTTCTTCCCGATTTCTAAAAAATCCTTACGTGATAGAAAAAAATGAATATTATTTTCGAAATCTGTGTAGCTGAATTATGAAAAATCCATTTTTAAACCAAAACAACTTTTATGAAGTTTATGTTCGCAGGCCTGTGTAATCCTTTAGTGCTATATTGAGAAACACTTCCATTTTATGGTGTGCTCTTAGAGTATTACTTTGAATCATGTTGAAGATTATTTTTATTTACAATATAAGTTAACAGTCAATTGACATAACTTCCAATGGAGTTCTTCAGCTCATTGAGGTATAACATGGACTAATCCTATGTGACGTAACTCAAGAAAGTAGTTTCAGAAAATCTCTGATAATATTAATGATTATTTTAAATTATTCCCCAGTTCGTATCAGATATTGTTTTCCTGACCTCCTCGTTTTACATGCATCGTTAATAAAATACCTTGAAATAATTTAAATATTTGTATCAGCGAAGCTGCTATTAATATTTACAACCAAGTACCTTCTCGCCTAGCCATACGTCACAAGCGAAATAACTCACGGTGATGACGACATCCTCGGGGTTACAAGCCTCTGCCTTTCAAGGGCAGCTCAAGGTCGATTTATGGTTGTGTAAAACCGAAAGGTATCCGGTGATAATATTTTGTATTCGTCACAATGACGCAGACAGACCAATTGACAAACTGAACTAAGAGACTTACAGAGTTGTGGGAAAGGAAATATATGCTAACATAATCTGTATTGAAGTCGTGGCAATTTTTTCCCCACTATTTTAGTTCATATGGCAACTGGATGGTTGTTAAGAGACCAATGTCTATCATCAACGCCACTTGTTCCAGACGTACTGCTGTCAGAAACAAGGTTTTGTGTTTCGTAACACCACGTTTCTGTTTTTACATTGTCGTATTAAGTAGCGTAATCAAATAATTAAACTAAAGATGACTGGGTTATCTAATTTCTCTAATTTTAGATTAATTTATTCTGCAAAATATAAGAAACTACAATATAGAGAGATTTAAAATTTTTAGAGTTTCGTGCATCGTTCCAGAAGTAACCACACCTTCATTCTGAGACATACATTTATAAGGATATGCGTCCAGTTGACACCACCATCTAATATCTCACCGTGGGTGGGCATTCTCCACCAATGATTATACCACCAGCGTATTGATCTTGCACTTAAACTACCCTTGAATAAATTGTTTTATTTTGTTTTTAAGATCACATTTTCTCCACTATTATACATCGATTTTTTTTTTCTTGATAAACAGTGACGCTTATCGTAACTACAGTATGCTTGTTTATATTTATTAACAGGAAAAACCGATAACCTGAATTCTTTCTTGCCAGAAACGGAAGATAGGCGTTACTTCTTTACTTTTAAATGAAGGAAGATCTGTCTTCTGAATGTGCTTACATTATTAGTCGTCATGTTTGTGAATTTTTTTTCTAACTAAAATGTTCTATTAGTATGAGGAGTGTTTGGATTTACAAGTAACCGTAGCGTATCCAGAAGCGATTTACTAGAGAAGTTTCTATTGTGTTTCCCAAAGATTAAATAATCCTGATAGAGCTGGAGGAAAAGATATTGACCAGAAACATATATTCTTAAAATGGACGTGGATATTTCCAAACCGTAAAATAACAGAATAGGTTCTGAGTCTTTTATACTGGGGCCTGGTATCGTCAGGTGGTTAGGGCGCTTCGAATTCCCGTCCTACCAAATATGCTCGCCCTTTCAGCCGTGGGGGCGTTATAATGTGCAGTCACTTCCACTATTCGTTGGTAAAAAGAGTAGCCCAAGAGTTGGCGGTGGGTGGTGATGACTAGCTTCTTCCCTCTAGTCTCTCACTGCCAAACCTTCATATTGTCTGTAAAGTGTCTCGGCACCGTATAATAATTTAAAAATATATTCTTATACAGTAAAATCTAAACCTGTATAATGAGCTGATGTAACAAGCAGAACCGTTTTAAATAGAAATGCAATGTATTTACGAATTTTATTTTTCAAACTGTTATATTACAGATTTATGATGTTTATTTATTTTTCAATTTCTATGAACATTTAATGTTTCAAGATTAGAATTGTTCTTCTCACCCGATAGATGTATTTAATTTTGAAACACAATGTTTAATTCTAATGTTATCTCTCTATATATAATACAGGTATTAAACTGACTTCGTTTCAAGGTTTTCTGTAATTGTTGAAATCATAAAATAACCAAACAACAACACAGTTCTATCAATATACGACTAAGTAGTCAGTCATTTCATGTCTATTGTTGTTGATCTTTTTAACTTTTTGTCGCGTTTTAATAACGTTGAATAAGTGTTTATGCTAAACAAATATGACAAAAGTTGTAATTTACATATGATTTATTACTTCTTGTACCTTGTGATTGGTTGAAATCAGTCATCATGTTTTTATACAATTTAAGAGATCTCGCTTTTTATTCAGACCAAGGAAAGGTCCTGTATAGGAACTGTATGTCTATACTCAAGTTTTAATCAAACTCACATTGTATACGTTGTTTGAATTATTGAACTTTATTTTAGTAAATCACTAAGTCCTCACACCAATAATTGGTCTACGTTTTGGAATATAAAACATCGAGAATATTGCAGCTAACAGAACAAACATATACATAACTTTACACTCCATGTAACAGAACAAACATATACGTAGCTTTACACTCCATGTAACAGAACAAACATATACATAACTTTACACTCCATGTAACAGAACAAACATATACGTAGCTTTACACTCCATGTAACAGAACAAACATATACATAACTTTACACTCCATGTAACAGAACAAACATACGTAACTTTACACTCCATGTAACAGAACAAACATATACGTAACTTTACACTCCATGTAACAGAACAAACATATACGTAACTTTACACTCCAATGTGAAAACGGGATTTTATAAATAGAAAATTAAAGAAACTATCTATATTTCTTCTTCAAGAGCATAACGTATTATTGGTGCACTTAATTATCCTTAAAACAGTAAGTCTTCGGGCATATAAGTAGCTAAGAGCTTAACATTCCCGTAATTCTTTTGAATTTTGTCCTCCTGTCACCCCCCGCATATTATTTGATGTAATTTGAAAGAAGATCACGTAAACACTGTTCAATCATTCAGCAGCAAATTGAATATTAGTTAAGAAGTGTACAAAAATCCGTAATTTATAGTCATTTGCAATTCATCTAAGTCACCATACGGTAACGGTATGAAAACGTAAATTTCTATACAGATATAGACATTAATTACTTTACTACCTTCAATGAAAACAGTCCGTAAAATTCACGAAAGAAAGAGGTTGGTGTAGAATTATCTAAGTTATTAAGTGATTGCAGTCAGGATGGACTACATTTTAAATTATGTGCAGCAGACGATCACTCAGAAAAAATAGAATTTTAAGGTTTTGCGTTTTAATAAGGTATGGAAATAGAAAAAGATAACTTTTTTGTGCTACTGTACTATTTTACTGTTAATTAAACCCTTGTCTACATTCACACAAGTAGCCATGTTTACGGCATTATCGTGTCCATCTACTGTACTTGACTAATACTGAGTGAATCCTGTTTCTAAGTTTGAACCCTTTCATATACATTTATTTATAATATTATGCATGTATGTATATGCTTATATTGATTCTTTTATCTCGTCTTTCAGGTGAAAAACCGTTCAAGTGTGAATTTGAAGGATGTGATAGAAGGTTCGCCAACAGTTCTGATCGCAAAAAACACTCGCATGTTCACACGAGCGACAAACCCTACAACTGTAAAATTCGAGGATGTGACAAGAGTTACACACACCCGAGTTCCTTAAGGAAACACATGAAGGTTCACGGCAAGTCGTCACCGCCACCAGGTACCATTCCTCCGGGATCGGCTGGGAGCACCAGCTCTGGCTCTGGTTACGACAGTGACACGCCGAACAACGTCAGTGGGAAGTATGCTAGCCGTAATAGTCTAGTCGGATCAAGCGGAGGTCCCGGTGCTTCGGGCCATGCGGCTTTACCCCTGAGCCAGTCAAATCCACCTCATAGTCTAGGTGGGGGTGGACCTTCAACTAATTTAAGTGAATGGTACGTGTGTCAGTCAACAACAGGCATGCCCACCCCACCCAGCAACGAACACTCACCCCTGGGTGGAGTTGGAGGCCACAGTCACCATCTTCACGCTGCTTCAGCTTACTGACCACCGGTCACTCCCACTAAGGTAGGAAAGCCTTTGTACAGATTAGACATTTCGTTCCAGCTCTATGCACTTGTATGAGCTGGAACAAACTGTGTTCATAATGTTGACGTGGATATTGTTTGAAAAACTTCATGACAACTGGTCCCTCCGACCACGACTATAAAGAGTCGATGTTTTCTCTTGTATAGACGACGTATTTATAAAATACATGGGCAGAAACTTGTTTGTATATGCACCAGGAAAATGTTCTTTGTACGCCAGGTGTTCAAGTACCAGATGCACTTGTATCATAGTAAAACTTGAATATAATTTTATCAAAGACCACCTGTTTTGTTGTGTTTGTTATTGTAAGGATATGTATATGTGTAGAAAGTACCCGCTTGATGACTGCACACACACACACATCTGTACTAGTCAGTCGATAATCAGCTGATGTCGTTTCTGCTTTAAATTTTGAAATCTTGGTATGTTTAAATCCTGTTGTGTTTATATTAATTTCCACATGTCAGTTTTGAAACAGATACAACTTACATTTGGCCTTTTCACACATTTTACACGCAGGACTGTATCTAAACGTGGGGTGCAGTTCGTCGTGTACCATACATCACAATACTAAATATTTAAATATTTTCTTTAATTTTTGGTAATCTCCTTTTTTTTTCCACTACACTGACTTACCAGGTATTCTTGTTCTTTTCCCTCTTTCACATGTCTTAAGTACTGTTGTATGCACTCACATGACCATTCAGTTGAGCGAGTGGGATTCCAACTGACATTTAAACAAACATCATGACAAGCAGGACATGATTACACAGTTTTCAGAACAGCAGCACTTTGAACTTGAACAAGGAGAATCTTCACTGTCTCCTCGAGCTCTTTAATGGGCGGTGTGTAAATCAACAAACATTCTGTACACTCTTCGATATTCTTTTTCATGTGGTCGAAGCGTTACCGGAAAAAAATAACAAATGTTAAAAAAAAAAATCAATCTATCGAAATTCACCCGCTTTGGAAAATACCAGATCCTTAATGTCTTATATCTTGCAAGTCACTCACAAACTTTTTTTTTTCGATTGGTCAGTTAATGGGAAAGACATGTTTCAATTGTTTGTATTAACTAAAAACAGTAACGCTTTATTAAGCATGAATTTTATATTACGTTGTATTTCTTAATGAAGCAATAGAAGATATATTAAGTAATAATTGTTATTTGTCGAAACGACACATTTTACGATTTGAGAAACAACCGCCTCATTATCAAGATATCAAACATGGTTTATGGATGACTCTTTTGAGTCATATAAGTATAATACATCTGTGATGTGTGGAAAAATAACAGAATGATTAATCATAAAGCGTTAGACCAAATTGTACCTATGTTGTTAACAAATGTGTTTTAAATGCAAAATACTTTGGATACGTGATCAGTTGCTTTAGATATATATTTAAAATTTTTATATTTTAGAAAGTAGTCAATTACATGTTCTTGATCATTTTGCATAAATGAGTAACTTTTCCCAATAAAATTTATATTTAACGTCATAAAATTTGACAAATAACATCGAATAGTATTTTCATAAGTTGATTTCCTTAGTCACTAAAGCCTTGTGATGGTTTAACCTGAGAAAAAGGATCTAAGAAGTAAAGGTGATTCAAATTACTGAACTGGTATTTTAATGTTTGTCTTTTAGTATTCAATTATTGTGCATGTTGAATGAATCGTTAGGCTTAACTGTATTATTGTACTCAGACATTTATTTTTATTAGATAAATAGTGTGAATTTTAACAGTATTCTTATTTATATCAAATGATAGATGTAAAAAAATGTAATTCATAGGGACATGTACAAAAACTCTATGATCGTACAAGATAACACACGGTTCTGTATTTAGACGAAAGTATACTAAGAATATGAAGCAAATATTGATATGTTGCTTCGAAAAACGAACCTCTTAGTTCTGAATATTCACGTAAATTCCATAGGCATGTTCCACTTAAGTGCTTTTAACGGAACTGATTATTTCTGTCGTCACCTTTTAAATAAATTTATTGTTACTTGTTATTGTACTTACATTTAAGTCATTACTATAGATTGACGCACGTTTCTTAAAGTGTATTGAATTATAATTAATACTCTTAATGGAGATTGAGCAAAAAAAAAACTCTGAAAACGCTAGGAACAAAACTTCGTTATTTTTTCTATAATACTCGGATCATTATAATCAATAAGAATTAAGCTTTAGGTGTTCATTATTAAACTAATGTTTCGTACCATTCGTGCTTCAATTGTATAATGGCTTCTGTAGCTGTTCTGTAAAACTTGGAAGACACCCAAAGGTAGACTATTGAGTCTCTAATCTAGAAAATATAAGTAAACTAATGAGCAAATGTTAAATACATTCCTATTAATGAGCAATTTAATGAATTGGTGAAAGTCACATGTGTTAGCTGAAAATTCACAGACGAAGAATTAAAGTGAGATTTAATAAAACATTCTTTTATTTGGGAGAAATGTGGCCGCTAGGCTACTTATGTACTCGTCTAGTTTTAGTCTTACTTAACCCTTGCATCGATAACAGGTTGTATATACTCATTCAGATATTACCCAAAGCTGCCTTTTCATAAGTGTTCCCTAAAAAATGTTTAGTGTTCGTAGTTAAACACAAAGCTACACAATGGGCTATCTGTGCTCTGCCCACCACGGGTATCGAAACCGGGTTTCTAGCGTTGTAAATCCACAGACATGCCGCTGTGCCACTGGGGGGCAAAAAGTGTTTAGAATTCTGTGCTTCCAATCATTGTAGCTAAAAGATATTAATCAAGTGCTTTTAATTTATGTATCTGTATTCGCCTATTTTATAAAACTTCAATTCATAATTATTAAATATACTAAACATCTCTGTCAGTTTTTGCGTAAAACTTTCTGTTCGTGTTAAATATGTTTTATTATGAACCGTATATACAAAAAAAGTCGGGGTGATTTAAGTTTTGTTTTTCACAAAAAAAGAATATATTATAATGGCGTATTAAGTTATTTTGGTCAAATAGGTCTTGTCTTGAAGTAAAACAAGCGGTTAATTCTCGCGTGAATGTAATAAACAAAATCCGTTTTGTTCAACACTCACACACCCTTATTCTGCTCCCACTTTTTTTTTCTACATTTCATTATTTCATTAATATTTAAACTAGGAAAAAATTAATGCTGAAAAGTGGTTTCAGTTCCACTTTTCTGCTTGTTTTTAAGTAATGCAATACGTCTAATAACAAAAGTCTAAATTTATAGCAGATTTAAGTTTTTCAAAAATAACAGGATTTTTTTCCCACTATCAATGCAAAAAATGGAAAAAAAGCTTCCAGAAAAGTTAACAAACAAAGTTCAATATTTAAGGGATTTACGTGATATCAAACACAAACCAGTCAAAAACAAGTTATGCAAAAAGGGTAATCTTCAAAGATGTTCTAGAATTACTTCATAAAATCCTGGTAAGAGTGGAAACAACTCGGAAAAATATACACAAAGTACTCTTTGAGTCACTCTATACACATAAAATTTTTACTGACACATGAAGTTCTCGAAGTGGGCCGAGTTGGGACGTATCCAATCACAATCTTCCATGCTGGTGAGTTAAGCTGTAGCAGGCAGATGCTTGCGCTTTTGCTCATCATTTGGTAGCCAGATGTCAGTGGATAAACGAACCACACTGTTTATATATAACTTGAACCATCCGTTCACGTATTTAGTGTCGAAGCGTTCCCAGTAGCAATATTTTTCTTTCATCAGGAAATAATAACATTGAGATGTCAATCTGTCACTCAAACTAACATTGGTGTGGATTATACTATCTAGGAAAAGACGAATATTTAAACATTTGTAAGATATGCTTAATAAATCTTGTTAAAATAGATTTTACTTCCATTCGTAAAAGTCTCTCTGTTATAATAATGTACAAATGTTGTAGTCGATAGTATATAAGATCACTTGTAGTTTACCTACCCGTTCTTACATCAAACTAATAGTTTTAGTTCGGCTATATCAATTAATTTCCCTGGGCCTGTAGCCATTCAGAGTATAGGCAATCTATTTTTATTGAATGTGTCCCGCCTTAATGATCTTTGGTTTTTTTGAAAACAACATTTTCTAATCACTTTTTTTGAAATAATTATAATAATCACCTGGAAATAAACAATTAACTTATAAATAACTAATATTCTTTCAAACTCAAAATTATTAATGTTTTATTTCATATATAAAAATAAATCAGGAAATATCCTTTAAGTACGTAACAATCTCCAATGTTTCAAGAACGTCTATGCTCTATAGTATCAAACACTTTGAAATAAAATATTCTTAATCATAGCCTTGTCTTTATATGGAAATTTAAATAAAGAATCCTCCCTGAAATCTAGTGAGATATTTATTCAATCTCGGAATGACTTAGGTGTGATATAAACGTAAAAGTTCGAGAAAGGCTACTAAACATTCATAATCAGACTATTACGTTCCTTTGAATATGATGGTGAATAATTGGATTTCTTTGATATAATTTTCATGTATAATTTGTTTTGGCTTGCCGTGCTTTATTCAAAATGGTTTAATAAAGTAATCTTAAGATTTGAGAATACTTGCAATTTAAAAACAGTCGGCGACACGAAGAAAAATATAGTTTGACGTCCCTTTTCAAACATGGCAGAATTAGGTAGGAAAGAAGAGTTTGGCGTTTCTGTAATTTCTAGGCTTTGACTGCACATCTAAAACCACGTACAAATAGACAGTGATAATAAAAATGCACAAGCAATTTTCTTGAATAGTGCCTTGATTACATAGGTCACATTAATGAAAGTTGTTCCACGATCTTCGGAGTTTTATGTGTGCCAACAATTTGTAACGAAACCAAGTAAGTATCTATGGCCTGAACAAGGCATGATTGGTCCCCGGCCAATGTAGAGGTATGAACAACGCATGGTTGGTCCCCGGCCAATGTCTGTACGCGAGTAAACTAGTGAGTACCTATAGTATGAACAACGTATGGTTGGTCCCCGGCCAATGTCTGTACGCACGTAAACTAGTGAGTATCTATAGTATGAACAACGCATGGTTGGTCCCCGGCCAATGTCTGTACGCTCGTAAACTTATTTGGGGCCGCTTCAAGTTTTCAAGTAAATCACTCAAGATTCCACGAAGTACGTGGTCGATACTTTCTGACCAAAATATTTATGTATAAACTTGTTGCATCCGTCTATTCTACACATATAGACGTGAACCACCACTCTAATAGGACTTGTGTTTCTAAAGGTTTAGAAAGCAAATTATGCATGAT